ATAGAAATCCTATTCTTGGAAATGTCATGTACTTTGGAAGGATTGTGGACATAATTGTGTTAGACTATTTCCGAAAATTTTCTGTGGTGCTATTTAAATGTGAATGGGTTGATGCTACCGAAGGAAAAGGTATGCAAATAGATACGTATGGGTGTAGACTTGTGAATTTCTCTAGTCTGACTCACACTGGTAAAAAGGCAGAGGATGAACCTTTTGTATTTGCCAATCAAGTTGACCAAGTATTCTACGTGGATGACCATCTTTATCCAGGATGGTCAATTGTTTTGAAGATGATGCCTCGAGATAATTTTGATATGGGTGAAGAATGGAATGATTTGGAAACAGAACCTTATCATGTCAGTAAATTCTTTCAGCTTTTTGATACTGCCCATCAGAAACAAAATTGGATGAGACGAGATATAGAGGGAGAAATTGTAGATGCTCCTATAATCTCAAGTGATGACACAGTACCTGAATAATGGTCAGGTTCAATGCGATTCAGTTATTTACATTCTTAGTATCATTGCTGCAACTTGTGTCATTCTGGACATGAAACTTACCACTATTGATTCTGAATGCAGGTTTGATGGATAATCAGAAAGTCACCTATCTGAATATGTGGAGCCTAGTTGAAGTGACGAATTCATTAGTGTTATTGCTATTTTTTTCTTTAATATTTCTATACTTTATAATTCAGACAAGAAGATTTGTAGGTGTGACAGTCCTAAAGTGTCAATACTTGATCCCAAATATGTTGGTTCTACGAACAACATAAAAGTGTTAAATAGGCTGGTTCCACGAACTCGATCAATACATTGGTGTTGGTTGTCTTCTTTTCAATACATCATGAGTTGCAGTATCTATAAAGTGTGAGTTGCATAATGTTTTTGGTTCACAAAACAGAGAGTGAGAAAGAGAAAAAGAGAGAAACAGAGAGTGGCGGAGGAAGAAATAATTTTCAGATGTATATTACTCCCTCATATACAGATACATCGATTTCATGTCAAGTAATTCCGGACGGAGGTTTTTATTTAGAAAATATACAGCACAAATTCGAAAAGCTAAATATTAACACTCGAAATACCACTACATGAAAATTATATGGATGGCTGTTCACCAAGTTACTGGACGAAACTAATCAATTCATCTTTTATCAACGGGAAGGCACAAGAATAAATGTACAGCCATGCGCCAAACCTGGCTTCGGCACTGCTCCTTGTCTGGTACAGCGCGCCATCAGGAGGGAGGGGTCTCGCGGTGCATCAGACACCACGTCTGGTGTAGCGCGCGACCAGTAATTCTGATGCAGGTTTGGCATGAGGCGTAGGGCCAGGTTGGAATTTCAGCAGCGCTGTTTTTTTTACAAAATTTCATACCTTTTTATTGTAATATACTAATGATATTATAACAACACACATATACAATTAAATACGCGCGCTCAAATTCCCTTGAACCGGCATCAAACTTGAGGGAGGTGCATCAGACCTGTTTTCCCCAAACATGCCCCCGAACATGCGCCTACCGCATATCGAGCCACAGGTTGTCGTCGCATCGTCTCTTCGTACCGCTGCGTCGCCGCCCCAAGGTCCTCCCGCCGGCTGCCCCGACTCGCTACTTCGACACCGACCACCCTGACTTGACATCACCACGGCGTTCTTCGCACCACTACTTCGACGCCACTACGCCCATGACTAACCCGGCGCCTCTTGCGTCCGCGGCTCCATGACGACTTCCTTGATAGCGGCCACCCCGACTCGACATCGACCACGGAGTTCTTCGCATGGCTACCTCGACCACAGGTACACCACCCTACGCTCACGGCTATCTCGACAAAGGCACAAAGGGCTACCGCCTTGCTTGAGCAATCTCGTCAGTTCCACTCCAGCCATGACTTCCGCGATGCATCGACCGTTACTACTGTAGGGTGGATGTCTGTCGGTTTACCTTCGGATTCTTCTCCAATGTCACCATATGCGTCGCTACCGTTCTGACCGCACGCGCGGGGGGAGAGGGGGATGTTGAGTATCGTGATTAGATTGACAACTCCAAGTAGATCACCAATATCCCTCTACCCTTCCGACAGTAGGATCTCCAAGATGGTTCTCGGCGCCAACTGAGCGATCTTCCTCTGGATCATGGCGCCGTCACGCATGGTCTTTTGACCGATCCTCCTCCTCTGAGCCGTTGAAGGAGGAAGGTCTTGCTCTCCTCGGATGATGGAGAGCATCATCAGCCGCCCCACATCGACGAGGCTACCGCAACAGACAAGGAGTTCCAACTGAAGTTTGAGCTCCCTCCGTGATCACGGTTTAGTGCCGTCCTCTTCGCTGCCCTTTGTGGCCCCACTGCTGCCATTGCCGCCCTGTCGGTGCCCGCTCGCCGTGAAGTAGGAGCCATACCTAGCGCTCACGAACACACGCGGGCGAATTGTGCATTACCTTCGACACGGCGGCTGGAGAACCGAGAATGTCGCTGCAGTGTCCTGGCGGTGGTAAAGTGAGTTGACCGGCGCAACACGCAACAACGTGTCGTGCTTGAGATGTCAGACGTCTCGCCGGACTAGGGCCTCGCAAACGCCATGCTGGTGGAGGCCTATGCGCCGCCTCAAGGGGAGGGGTGGGTGGAACGGGGCGACGTTCGCGGCCGACACTGGCCTGTGGGCGACGAGGGAGGAAGCTGAGCGGCTACACCGATGTGGCAGGTTGGCCAATCGTCCCGTTTTGACTAATAGAAAACATTATCAGTTCATCTATTTTGCATTGAATTTGTACAAACATAGAAGAAGCACGTTGTGTTTGGCACAAATATATGTGCAAGCGCCTGTCAAGGGCCAAATCATAATAAAAAATATTATAATTTTTTTGCTTCAAATTTGCAGTCGCTTTTCTTTCTTTTTTTCGCACCAATTTTTCCGTTTCCCTCTATTCTCTCCCGCCAAGAGCCACTAATTCTAGTCAAAATAAAATAAGTACGCGCGCTTCATTAACATCAGCTCTCGCGAGGAGGTAACTACGCCACCAAAATAGGAAACCGCCTCTCCCCTCCCCCATATCAACGCAGTTCCCTTCCTCCTCTTGTACGAAGGATCCCTTCTTGAGCAGATCGATCGTGGCCAGCCCTCTCTCCTGAGTCTCATAGCTCGCCCCGCCGATTCCACCATTGAGGCTGAGGGCACCAGAGGCGTGTCTTGTTCAGCAACTGGGCGGTAAGCAGATCAATCCCCACACCTGATTCATAGAAACAGAAGCTAAATTCTGGTACGACTTGAAGATTTTGCCTCCTCCCCCCCTTCTTGGTTCAGATCTGTCCCTTCTATGCTTTCTAATTACTCTTCTCTTGAGTGAACTCGATAGTGCACACCAAGTGTTTGATAGTTGTCCTCTGTTATTGGTTTAGAATTTTGGGGAGCCTTCAGATAGAGTTGGTTTCTTCTGGTAACTACTGGGGTGTCAAGTGCGGACGCGTGCAGTATTTCAATCACCACTACTACCTTGGTGACTTCAATCTCTTCATAGACTTTCATTATGGAACTCCAATTCTGAATATCATGTTGTTGTTGGGTAGTATAGTTGGGTTAGTTCTTATGAGTATCAGACCATGATCTGCGGCCCCCAATAATTTGAATGTTAATTTTTTATGAATACCAGAACATGATGTGCAGCAGCACAACTAACAGTCCAGTCTGGAAACGACACACTTGTTCTGAAAATAAATGTTAGTGACTTGAGAATAACATATCATCAGCCTAGCTATATTGGTTGTGCATGAACCAAACCTCCTTAACAGAAAAGAGAATGAACGTGGGTGTCCTTGACCTTCTCATCCTCTTACTATCCGTGGATATGTTATACCTGAACATGTCTAGCCCCTCCCCCTAGCAAACACCAAGTTAAGCAGGGGCAGTAATTACTTGATAATATGATTGTTTGAGCTGAAATCTGAATTAATCGTCTTCACATCTATTGTGATGACTGTCATAAGGTCGAGTAGGACCACAAAATATTGTCTTTTGCAAAAATTATTTAAACTTTTTGTCATTTTAATGTTGCAGCAGATATGTCACGGACAAGAATTAACGTTGTTGAATCTAATGAAGAATATATGACGGAAGAACCGATCGAGCATCATAATTCTGCTGCAAAAGATGTCGAATCATCCGATGTCCATGAAAGAACTACTAATGATGAAGAAGGCTTCACAGATTGTAATGACGCTGAAGTGGATGAAAACGAAGATGGTAAGTTTGTTGCTCATTACTTACCTTTGTAATATATGATTATTCTTCATTGTAACATATAATTCATGGTTCTATATATTCATTTGAAAATGCAGAAACAAAAGAGCGTAAGAAGAGGAAGCTCAAATATATTTGGAACCTTCCAAAAGGGAAGAGGATAATGGTTTGCTGCAATGAGATAGATCAGCCAATTGGAAAAGAGGCTAAACATCTTGGGGATTTTCTTGGCTCAGTTGCAAGGAATGGATCATTGTGTTGCTTGAGCTACAAGGATTGGAGATTGCTCAAAACTAAAACAAATGTAAAGGCTATACTAGATCAAGTGAAGGTAAAATTTAATCCATTGAATATCCTTTACCAGCTTGTTCTATGTTGCCTTACATTACACTCACCCTATTTATGTTGTAATTGTTTTGTAGATGAGGTTCCTTTACCCTCCTCGCATGGAAAAATATATATTGAAGGTAATTGGAGACAGATGGAGGCAACATAAGTCTGATCTGAAAGCAATGTATTTTGATGAGAAAAAAATCACCGAAGCGAATTACAAAAATAAACCAAAATCCGCGACTCCGGATCAGTGAAGATCTCTAGTTAATCATTGGACAACCCAGAAAGCGAAGGTACTTAGAAGAATTCCATTTTCAACTTTCCTTGTTGGACTTTATATATTGCTGTGTAGATATGATGAAAGATCTGCACATAATTGCTTTGATTTATTCTTTGGTAGGGGATTAGTGCTACAAATAGAAATAATTGTTCAATGAGGAAGTCTACACATACTAGTGGGACAAAAAGTTTCCCTCGTAAGAGGGAAGAAATTGTAAAGTGTACTAACTTCATGCATCGCTCTTCCATTCATGTTTTCTAATGTAATTCATGTTTACATTACATATCAACAGAAAGATGCAGATCCTGAAAAGAAGTACACTCATAGGGCTCACTTGTTCATGCACACGCACAAGCCAAAAACTTGCGAGAACAAAATAATTAATGCTCATGTGGTACATTTACAACTCTCAACCATTCGTATTTGAATTTGATATTATATGTATTCTTATTATTCGCATTGTTCCTGTATTTAGGAAGAGTTGAAAGATATTATGGACAAGAACCTCGAATTAGCAGATAACAGCGGTGGAAAGACTGCATGGAAAGGAGATGCGTTGAACAAAGTATTAGGGGATGACAAGCCTGGCCATGTACATGGTTTGGGACTAGTTCCAAACCCAAAAAAACTTTTTGATGTTTCCACTTCACGTGTATTCCAGAATACACATTTTACTTCGGTGGAGGATACACCAAATGAAGATATGCTAGCTTTTAGAGTTGAAATGGAAAAATTATATCAAGTAAATAAAAATCAGGATGCTAAAATTATGGAACTAGAGGAGAAGATGAGAAGAATGGAAAGACAACCAAATCAGGTAAATTTCTAACAAATGTAAGCTTCATTTATTTTGTGGACTAACCTTTCTGTATTCCTATCATAGGAAATTTCAGATCCAATGGCTACAATTGGGCTTGAACCTTCGGTTGATGGACACAACTCAAACAGAAAAGTTTGTATCTTGTCAAAGTACACAATAAAATTCCTCAAATTTCACTCCAGAAAGTATTTCTCATTTGATATTTATGTTATGCTATCTGTAGAGAGTGCTTTCTCCTCCGGTTGATGGACTCCAACTTGTTAAAAAACGATCAAATAATTTACATAACAAGCAAAGTGGATCAAACGATGAAGATTTGCAAGCATCAAACAAGAATTCTATTTCAGATAAGGTTTGTCTACTTAAATACTCTTTATAACCTGTCATTGCTGAGTTTTAAGTTGTTGTTCTTGCACTTTTTGCAATTGCATATAAAATACCCAAAACTTGATGTGTGATCATTTTATCCTAGAACAAAGAAACTATGGTTCATAATGGTGGCAGTGCACGACAACTAGAAAAATGCTCTACTGCACACAAGGTATCAACAGTCCCATATACAAAGTTATGATCAAACTATAGTGCTCCCATGTTTATGTCTTTAATTGTTGCTTTTAGAATGTTGTCCAGAACCAAGAAACTCCTCATAATTTCAGTGCTAAGCAAGGGGAAATAAATTCTGCTACACATAAGGTATATTTCTGTTACCATATACAATATGTTCAGAATATATTGCTCCGATGGTTATGTATCTACTGGTCGTCTTGCTATTAGAATGTTGTTCAGAACAAAGAAACTTTTCTTGAGAATGTTAGTGCACGTCACGGAGAAAAAACTTCTGCTGCAAACAAACCGGTATCTTTTCATAATCACATACACATTTCTGTTTAAACTATAATGCTAGCTTGTTTATTTGTTTATGACTTCTTCTTTGCTGTCATACTGTTATCCAGACCAAAAAAACAACAAAAGGTGCCAATGCAAGCAGTAAGAGTGCTCAAAGTGGTTCGCTAAGCTGGTTGGGTGCCAATGAATTACCTGTAAGAGTGCTCATTCATTTTAGATGTTCCTCTGTTTTCTTTCTATTTTTCTCATATGGTTACTTTGATTTTCTCTAACAGGCAGGAACTAAAGTATTCTTGAAGAGCCTGAAAAACCATAACAGGGATGTAGCTCTTGCTACAATTGTAAGTTGTGATCCAAACTTTAAACGTGATGGTGCTGAAATTAGGAATGAATTCTGGGCGGTGCATGTTGATATGACACTTGTGAAAACTGAAAATTTGGTACGGAGTCACAAAAACTGCACTACTCTCGGCAATGCAGAAAAAACAAAGATTGCATGGCCCTCAACCTTTGTACGTGACTAATATCTTGCCTCTATTACTACTTGCATCATGTCAATGCATTTTGTGTTAACACTTCAGTTTGTTTTCTTTTTTGTAGATTCAAAAGATAAATGGATGAGTATATGGGTGGGTGGCAAGTGTACTGCAATGATGATGTTGATATTCTGCTTCATGATGGTGACGATGATGGATGCTTTCAGTTTTAGTTATGTTCTGGGGATGATGTTCCTGCTGGATGTTGTTCCTCGATTAAGTTTTAGTTAAGTTGTAGGGAAGTTGAATGCTTTAGTTTAAGTTTCACTGTCAAGAAAGTAGTTAGATTATGCATCACGTTTGGATGATGTTCCTCTTGTAATATCCACTATTGTAATCCAACAATTTTATCTCATATATGATATATGATTTCTTCCGGTTGTCAGTATATTCTCTTGTTTTTTCCTATACCTGAAATACACAATTACATGGAGCATTGATTACATAATAATAATAATAATAATAATAATAATAATAATAATAATAATAATTATTATTATTATTATTATTATTATTACACTAAATATGTGCCAACACTTGAAGCGTTGGAAATTCTTCGTTGCCAAGTAATTGGATTTTGATTCTTGTACATTAACCACCAACATATAAAACTGTTGTAGAACTCCCCTTTATCTGTTGTAGTCTTGCAACGGTTTCTTTACCAACGGCAATATAAGCGTTGCATTATTCACTAGCAACACTGGATAAGGCAACGCATCACAAACCGTTGGTAAAGACACTAACAACGCATATATGGGCTTTTAGATACGGAAAAAAGCGTTGCTATAGCGGGGGTCTTGTTGTAGTGATGGTGCCCTATTTTAAAGTGAATGCAGCTGTCTCTAATGCATAACCCCAAAATGATAGTGGTAAATCGGTAAGAGACATCATAGATCGTACCATATCAAATAAAGTGCGGTTACGATGTTCGGACACACCATAATGTTGTGGTGTTCTAGGTGGCGTGAGTAGTGAAACTATTTCACATTGTTTTAACTGAAGACCAAACTCGTAACTCAAGTATTCATCTCCACGATCAGATCGCAGAAACTTTATTTTCTTGTTACGATGATTTTCCACTTCACTCTGAAATTCTTTGAACCTTTCAACTATTTCAGACTTATGATTCATCAAGTAGATATACCCATATCTGCTCAAATCATCTGTGAAGGTCAGAAATTAACGATACCGGCCACGAGCCTTAATACTCATTGGTCTGCATACATCAGTATGTATTATTTCCAACAAGTTTGTTGGTTGTTCCATTGTTCCGAAGAACGGAGTTTTAGTCATCTTGCCCAAAAGGCACGGTTCGCAAGCATCAAATGATTCATAACCAAGTGATTCCGAAAATCCATATTTATGGAGTTCCTTCATGCGCTTTACACTGATATGACCCAAACGGCAGTGCCACAAATAAGTTGCACTATCATTATTAACTTTGCATCTTTTGGCATCAATATTATGAATATGTGTATTACTACGATCGAGATCCAATAAACTATTTTCATTGGGTGTATGATCATTGAAGGTTTTATTCATGTAAACAGAACAACAATTATTCTCTGACTTTAAATGAATAACCTTATTGCAATAAACATGATCAAATCATATTTATGCTCAACGCAAACACCAAATAACACTTATTTAGGTTCAACACAAATCCCGAAAGTATAGGGAGTGTGCGATGATGATCATATCAATCTTGGAACCACTTCCAACAAACATCGTCACTTCACCCTTAACTAGTCTCTGTTTATCCTGCAACTCCCGTTTTGAGTTACTAATCTTAGCAACTGAACTAGTATCAAATACTGAGGGGTTGCTATAAACACTAGTAAAGTACACATCAATAATATGTATATCAAATATACTTATGTTCACTTTGCCATCCTTCTTATCCACCAATCAATTGGGGTAGTTCCGCTTCCAGTGACCAGTCTCTTTGCAGTAGAAGCACTTAGTCTCAGGCTTAGGACCAGACTTGGGTTTCTTCACTTGAGCAGCAACTTGCTTGCCGTTCTTCTTGAAGTTCCCCTTCTTTTCCCTTTGCCCTTTTTCTTGAAACTAGTGGTCTTGTCAATCATCAACACTTGATGCTCTTTCTTGATTTCTACCTTCGTCGATTTCAACATCACGAAGAGCTCGGGAATCGTTTTTGTCATCCCTTGCATACTATAGTTCATCACGAAGTTCTAGTAACTTAGTGGTGGTGACTAGAGAATTCTGTCAATCACTATCTTATCTGGAAGATTAACTCCCACTTGATTCAAGCGATTGTAGTACCCAGACAATCTGAGCACATGCTCACTAGTTGAGCGATTCTCCTCCATCTTTTAGCTATAGAACTTGTTGGAGACTTCATATCTCTCAACTCGGGTATTTGCTTGAAATATTAACTTCAACTCCTGGAACATCTCATATGGTCCATGATGTTCAAAACATCTTTGAAGTCCCGATTCTAAGCCATAAAGCATGGTGCACAAAACTATCAAGTAGTCATCATATTGAGCTAGCCAAACGTTCATAACGTTTGCATCTGCTCCTGCAATAGGTCTGTCACCTAGCGGTGCATCAAGGACATAATTCTTCTGCGCAGCAATGAGGATAAACCTTAGATCACGGATCCAATCGGCATCATTGCTACTAACATCTTTCAACACAATTTTCTCTAGGAACATATCAAAATAAACATATGAAAGCAACAACGCAAGCTATTGATCTACAACATAATTTGCAAAATACTACCAGGACTAAGTTCATGAAAAATTTAAGTTCAGTTAATCATATTACTTAAGAACTCCCACTTAGACAGACATCTCTCTAGTCATCTAAGTGATCACGTGATCCAAATCAACTAAACCATAACCGATCATCATGTGAGATGGAGTAGTTTTCAATGGTGAACATCACTATGTTGATCATATCTACTATATGATTCACGCTCGACCTTTCGGTCTCCGTGCTCCAAGGCCATATCTGCATATGCTAGGCTCGTCAAGTTTAACCTGAGTATTCCGCGTGTGCAAAACTGGCTTGCACCCGTTGTAGATGGACGTAGAGCTTATCACACCCGATCATCACGTGGTGTCTGGGCACGACGAACTTTGGCAACGGTGCATACTCAGGGAGAACACTTCTTGATAATTAGTGAGAGATCATCTTAAAATGCTACCGTCAATCAAAGCAAGAATAAGATGTATAACAGATAAACATCATATGCAATCAAAATTTGTGACATGATATGGCCATGATCATCTTGCGCCTTTGATCTCCATCTCCAAAGTACTGTCATGATCTTTATCGTCACCGGCACGACACCATGATCTTCATCATCTTGATCTATATCAATGTGTCATCACATGGTTGTCTTGCCAACTATTGCTCTTGCAACTATTGCTATCGTATAGCGATAAAGTAAAGCAATTATTTGGCACTTGCATCTTATGCAACAAAGAGACAACCATAGGACTTCTGCCAGTTGCCGATAACTTTAACAAAACATGATCATCTCATACAACAACTTATATCTCATCACGTCTTGACCATATCACATCACAACATGCCCTGCAAAAACAAGTTAGACGTCCTCTACTTTGTTGTTGCAAATTTTACGTGGCTGCTACGGGCTTAGCAAGAACCGTTCTCACCTACGCATCAAAACCACAACGATAGTTTGTCAAATAGACTCCGTTTTAACCTTCGCAAGGACCGGGCGTAGCCACACTCGGTTCAACTAAAGTTGGAGAAACTGACACCCGCCAGCCACCTGTGTGCAAAGCACGTCGGTAGAACCAGTCTCGCGTAAGCATACGCGTAATGTCGGTCCGGGCCGCTTCATCCAACAATACCGCTGAACCAAAGTATGACATGCTGGTAGGCAGTATGACTTATATCGTCCACAACTCACTTGTGTTCTACTCGTGCATATAACATCAACGCATAAAACCTAGGCTCGGATGCCACTGTTGGGGAACGTAGTAATTTCAAAAAAATTCCTATGGACACGCAAGATCATGGTGATGATATAGCAATGAGAGGGGAGAGTGTATGTCCACATACCCTCGTAGACCGTAAGCGGAAGCATTAGCACAACGCAGTTGATTTAGTCGTACGTCTTCATGATCGACCGATCCAAGCACCGAACATACGGAGCCTCCGAGTTCAGCACACGTTCAGCTCGATGACGTCCCTCGAACTCCGATCCAGCCGAGTGTCGAGGGAGAGTTCCGTCAGCACGACGGCGTGGTGACGATCTTGATGTTCTACCAGCGCAGGGCTTCGCCTAAGCTTCGCGACGATATGACCGAGGTGGAATATGGTGGAGGGGGGCACCGCACACGGCTAAGGAACGATCCGTAGATCAACTTGTGTTTCTTTGGGGTGCCCCCCTGCCCCCGTATATAAAGGAGCAAGGGGGGAGGCCGGCCGGCCCTTGGGGCGCGCCAAGGAGGGGGGAGTCCTCCTCCTACTGGGAGTAGGACTCCCCTTTCCTAGTCCAACTAGGAAGGAGGAAGGGGGAAGGAAAGAGGGGGAGAGGGAGAGGGAAAGAGGGGCCGCGCCCCCCTCCCCTAGTCCAATTCGGACTCCCCTTGGGAGGGGGCGCGCCACCTCTTGGGCTGCTGCCCTCTCTCTCCCCTCAGGCCCACTAAGGCCCAATACTTCCCCGGGGGGTTCCGGTAACCCCTCCGGCACTCCGGTTTTCTCCGAAATCACCCGGAACACTTCCGGTGTCCGAATATAGTCGTCCAATATATCAATCTTTATGTCTCGACCATTCCGAGACTCCTCGTCATGTCCGTGATCACATCCGGGACTCCGAACAAACTTCGGTACATCAAAACTTTATAAACTCATAATAAAACTGTCATCGAAACATTAAGCGTGCGGACCCTACGGGTTCGAGAACTATGTAGACATGACCTAAAACCATTCTCGGTCAATAACCAATAGCAGGACCTGGATGCCCATATTGTTTCCTACATATTCTACGAAGATTTTTATCGGTCAAACCGCATAACATCATATTTTGTTCCCTTTGTCATCGGTATGTTACTTGCCCGAGATTTGATCGTCGGTATCCAA